ATAAAGCAAGAATCTGAATGTTCCACTCCAGGCAGTAAACTACATCAACACATCCAATAAAGCCCTTCTTTGCCAGTTCCATGGTGAATCTCCTTGTGATCTTTTCCAATTCATTATCCTATAAAAAAAAAAGATAAAAATAATAATGAAAAATATTTTCACAGAAAAACCAGTTCTGGAGGTAACAGATGCATATTTTCCATTTATAGGACATTAATATATATTTTCTTGTATGATCCTCAGATCTTATATATTCTGACTTTAAAAGTAAGAAAATGTGAGATCTGAAATTAGGTTATACAATCAGCAGCTAGAACTAGGGCTCAAGTACAAGCTGCTGTTCTCTATTAACATAGGACCCAATGAGCAATCTCTATGGTATATTTTCATTTAAAGGGTACATTATAAAAAATATATTTATTATGTTTGTGTACAGATATAAATAACAGCCATAAATAAAGCTAGTAATAAATCACTTTAATTAACTTGGAACAGATAGGAGAAAAACAACTAAATTTCTACTGGATTAAACTATTTGTGTCACTAAGACCAGACATAAAAATCTCACAGTAATATATAAATATAGATTAAATGTTTAAAAATATGAAGGTATTAATTACCATTTACCCAAGTAAGAAAATGAAAAAGGACATTGACATTAAGCAGGTACCTTTTAAATGTGGCCAAATACCCAATGAGTTAATTATTTACTTGTTTTTCCATTCTTTCTAATTTCAAGCCCTCTATAAATGCAGTGTGTACACAAATTTCACTTTTGATACTTACAGTATAGTTCTTGGGATTGATCTTCACACCTGCTTTGGCACCCCCAAATGGTACATCTGAAAGAGAAAACTGAAAGTTGTTACTTCCATATAAAGGGTAAGAATACTAGAAAAGTAGAAAGCACTACAAAAATATTAAAAAAAAAAAAGTATGTTGCATTAAGCTTGATTTCATGAAGGAAATGAATCGACATCCTTCTAAAAATAGTATACATAAATATTCTCATGAACGAAAGTTACAAGGCTAGACAAGTTACCATGCATATTTAATCAGTGTGCTTTTATCACTTCTAAAAGACAACAGCATACTTATTTTCCTTCTACTACGATTTGGTCATATTTACAGAGTATGGAAAGGGATTGAAATAAAGATCTACACTTAAAAATTAGATGAGGTACATTTTAAAAGTAACCTTGCATATAACATATTTCCCAAGAGTTTTTATTAGGTATTAACAAAAGAGAATCAATCACTTACCAACCACTGCACACTTATATGTCATCAGAGAAGCCAAAGCTTTTACTTCATCCACACTTACATCAGTGCTGTAACGGATACCTGGTAGAGTATTAAAAAAAAAAAAAAAAGCGGGGGTGGGGTGGGGTAGGTGGGTTGAGAAAGAAAGGGATTTATTTAGAACATCCTTCTGGCAAGTTTTTTTTAAAAAGCTTCTCTCTGAAATGTCTATACTTTCAAAAACACTTGAAGTAGCTTATAATAAAAAGCCAACATAAAAAAGTCAAGAGGAAAAGTTGCTAATTACACACCCATAGCTATAGAACAAGCAAATATTTGATTTTAAGTATTCTGAGAGTTAAGAGAAAAAGTTTGGTGTTGAAGTTCAGTTTCTGCTTTCTGGTAGGAGAAGATAAGCAGGGATCCTGGTGATTTAGAGAGGATAAGACACAGTCCTATCCTCCAGAGACTTATGCCGAACAGTACCTAAGATTCTACAAGACAAACATTACCTTCAAAATGAATTTTTTTTTTTTAAGGAAGTCCACTCAATTTGAGAAACCACCATTAGTCATTTTTAACAGCAGGGCTTCTTTTGTGTTTCAGAAAACACATATCTAAACATAAATGATTAAGTTCTAAGAGAATTTTATCTATTGTATATATAATCAAAAGACCATGTGAAGAAGAAAGCAGAACTTCTACCTTGGCCTACTGGAAAAATAAAATGGTTATAGTTAGAAGACTTTAAAGAGCACTGACTGCTTCCTCATCCCTACTCTATAGCCTCTTCTACATTATTTAATATTTTACCAATGACTTTATGTATTTGTCTGCTATTTGATGCCCACTCCAGGTAAGCTGGTCTGTTAAGACAGACCTCGTTTTTTCACTACCCTAATTCCTAGTGCCTAACACAGAAAATGGCATGTTTTAGGCGATCAAATATGTGTTTTCTAAGTGTATGACTATTTTTTTAAATAGGTTTAATGCTATTCTTTTTTTTAAAAGATGTATTTGTTTATTTATTCATTTTTAAATTTATTTATTTATTTACTTATACAAGCACTGGGTACAGTCAGAAGCACGGGAAGGTGAGAGAATTCACCAGAGTCAGAGCGGGAAGCAGAACAGGCAGGAGGACCAAAGTACACTGCTGAGGGAGCAGTGGGCCAGCAGGAGAGGTCTGCGTCCGGGATCGGACCCAGGGGATCAAACAAAGCCGGTGCTGCAGAGGCTGCGGCAGCTCAACTGACCGCTGGGGAGACTGGGAGCCCTATGTACATATTTTGACTTAAATGAGAGGACAGAAATCCATGGAAAAGTATGTCAAAATTTTGACATTATATGCAAGTTCTCAGTAACTTACCATTAAGTGCCCATACATGTAAAAGTCTAAGAAAGTACTAAAAAGCAAAAGTACAAGGCACAAAAACAGTATTCCAAAGAGTTTGGAATCTAACTCTTTAAACAAAAATGCTGTTAAATAATAAGGTGCAGTGTTCTAACCAAGTGAAGCCAGTGCTCGAATAGCTGTGGGCACCTATGCTTGCTTGCTCGCGGGCAGAGGGTAACACCACTCTAGGCATCCTGCCAGGACAGCAGGGGACACACCGAGAGAGGCAGCTGGCAATCTCATATTATCACATTACAGGTATTACAAAGCAGTAGCAAATAACAAGAAATTTACTCATCAAAATCTAAAATGATAGGATTTTAAACAGCATAATAAGGCTTGTTTGTTTCTCAAGATAAATTCATGGGGGTAATAATGCAATATTTAGAATCAGTATTCTCCCTGTGAAGCATTTTTCCCTATTGTTCTTTTACAGCCCGGTGGTATGACACTAAGTTATTGTAATTTCCCTTGCTTTCTTAAGTGAGGGCAAAAGTTACTTTCCTTACCTAGTGCTTATATCTAATGCATTCAGTGGGAATCAAAAAAATGCCTGAAATAGTTACATTTATAAATCAGATAGTATTGTCACTTTTCATAAATCAAGCCTTTTCCTTTTTCCTAGAGAGCTGGCAGTGCAGACTAGTTAAGCAGGAAGGATCAATAGTGGCAATACAGGCAGAAACTAGAAGGAACGAATTTTATCTAAAAATGGAGAAAATTAGGGGTTTGTTGTTAAAAAGTCTCAATTTCTAGACCATTGTTAGCCTCTGTTGATAATAGAACTGCTAGTATTTGGGAAGAGATCATCTCTGGGTCTTGAGCAACAATGCTAGCAGGTATAATAATAGATTATCATTCACCTAACAATGGAGGTAGGTACTTTGAAAAGCCCACTGCCTTCTAAACTATAAACCTATAGTAGGGTGATTACAAGGTGCAAACCACAGCATCGATGCCATTAGAAATAGGTCTAAAATCAACAATCACACATTCTGATCAGCTAACAGTAACCTGTGCTTCTAGTTCAAAGGAAATTAAAGAAAACCACCCATGACAAAGTTTATTATTTACCAACTTGGTAAGGTTGAAGGTATGACTGTAATAAGTACTTATTACAACTGGAACTTTGAAATTATACCTTTTATTCTCAAGAAATGAACTTAACAGTTACTTTAATCAACTGATATCCAAATGTTTGAAAAACATTTAAATGCAGACATCTGCAAACTATACACAGCAGAAAGCATTTTTCTGCCTTTAATTTAGTTATACCAAAGACATTTCTTACTATCCTCAAGAGTCCAATGATTGGTGCATACTAAGTTTTTCCAGGGGAAATAAAAGTCAAAAGCAAAACGAGCTGAAGTTGCTATGGTGATGAAGAAGCACAACAGTTGAGAAAGATTCAGTGAAAACCACAACTGAGTAGCTTGAATTTTCTTCCTTTTTGTTGGTTGACTCAAAACCAGAATCATACAAAAGGGCTCCTAGCAACTAAGTTACCATTATTTTTTATGATAAATCATTCATGATTTATAATGGTTCTTAAAAGCACTTGACCCCGGAGCTTTTATAGGAATTGATTTATTCACCAGAAACCTAATTTCCAACTGTTTTCTCTCACTTTTCAGAAACTACTTACTCAATAACCACTAGTTCTACCACAAGGATGGAACTCCCAGAAAAGCAAAATGGCCTTAGAATCCTTAAAAACCATGCACTAACACTCACCATTAAATCATTAAAACCTATTTTCTCAGTTAACACTAATGCAATTTCCTATTTCATAATAATAACACCACTTAATTAAAAATGAGGAAGGAGGGAAAGTGAGGAACTAGTCACCATCACTAAGTAATGACCATGTAAAATACTTTAAGTCTCAGAAAAATGTCAAACTTTTAGCACTAGGAAAGAGCATTTAACATATAGCTAAGGAAAATCATACTCTTTAATTACTTTACACAGTTATCCATGTACTACTCTGTGTAGGAAGGCAAGCAAACAAATACTTTACAGTTTTAACTCATTATCAAAATTCTTGGATCATTTCTGAAGAAACAAACAAGAAGCTTTCTGGGAAGCAAATGGTCAGCTGATGCTGGAAAAATAAAATGGAAAATATTTTGTCTCATTGAAACCTTAAAATTATAACACATGGTATGTTTTCACCAAAATTGAAATGCAGAAAAAGTGAGGTTTCCCCTCAACACCACGTGACACCAGTCATCCCCATAAGAGACAATCATTCTCAGTGATTTAAATGTATTTATAGCTTTCCAAATCATTTATCTGCATGCATGCACACACACAATCTACAGAACACACAGCTTTGTATTGTAATTGTTTAACTGACTCACCTATGCATGCAGGAAAGATTATGCATTAAAGGGGAGACTTTGTTAGTTTTTATAGCTATTCCTTATTCCAGTAATAACTAACATTAAACTTAATCACACCATCATACCAAACAGGTCTTGAAATGATGTTAAATTGGTGAAAATGAAGTTCTATAATTAAAAAAGCAAAAGATATTAATAAGGTTCAAAGGAGTAAATGTTCAATATTTCAGATACCCAGTTTCATTAAAAATATTTATACATCTAGCTGATATTAAAGATCTTAAGAGAGGAAGAGAATTATAGAGACTAGAGGCTGGTAAGGGTGGGTACCAAAGGCTACCATCATTTTTTCTGCTAGAGTTTAAGACTAGAAATTTGAGTTATCTTTGACTTTTCTCTCCTTTATTCCATATATCTGAACTATCTTTTCTTATCTGTCTTTTACTTTCCATTTCCTCTGCAATTACCTATCACTTCATTCTTAGTCCCAACGCTACCTGGCTTTCTATGTCCTTTTAGGTTTATCATTATTTATCCAACAAACTTCAGTGGAAAACTTTTACTCACACTTCTAATACAAAATATGGTTTTATCACATTACGACATTTTCTAGTTCTCTTGGTGTCCTACAATTTAATCCATTTGTAGTGCAGACACCAAAAGGAAAGAGCTCAAATGCACAAGACCAACCTCCATTTCAGGGACAAGTACTGAGTGCTCAGGGAGCCCACATTTCTAAATAACTTGACAACAAACCAGGGCTCCCACACCCCCTCCTCAGGTTTGATTGGTAATTCGCTATAACAGCTCACAAAACCCAAGTAAATATTTGCTTACATTAATTGGTTTATTACTTGCAGAAGCTTTTGTGCCCCTATGGAGTTGGTATTCTATCTTCCTGGAATTTGATGTGTACCATGAAGTTCTCCAAATCTAGTAGTTTAGGGATTTTTATGAAGGCTTTCTCACATGGGCATGATGGATTATTAATTCAACCCTCCAGCATCTCTTCCCTCCCTTCTAATCACTGCCTTAGTCTTTTGTTTTTTTTTTTTTTTAATAGAGGCATGTTTTTATTTATTTATTTATTATGTTTGTTTGTTTGTTTTGTTTATACATGCACTGGGTACAGTCAGAAGCGCGGGAGGGTGAGAGAATTCACCAGAGCCAGAGCGGGGAGCAGAGCAGGCAGAGGGACTGAAGCACACTGCTGAGGGGAGCAGCGGGGGCAGGAGAGGTCTGCGCACCATGTGGGATCCTCCTCCGGTGGCCGGGAGCAGCCGGGATCGAACCGGCGCCGCAGAGGCGCGCGGGCAGCTTTGCAACCCAGCGCTCAACCGCTGCGCCACCGGGAGGCCCCA